TTCATTCTAGAATAGATTGTACGATTCTTCTGTGCAGAGTCGAGGTGTAAGGAGCATGGAAGAGTGCAAATTATACAGTACATGTACTTACTTTAAGCTTAGCTAATTACATGGGTTAACTTGTATGAACTAGGATTCTCCAGCCAACTATATCCTGAACCTTCTTTCCTACTTCTTCCCAATAGCCATTTATTCTTTTCATTGTCTTTTCTACTCAGATTCCATGTACCTAATATGTAAGATTCATTTTTGAAGGCTTTGTTTGTGAAAATCCATCCATCTATACATTTGTAATAGGTCCTTATCACCAGTCAAAACCAGCGACCATGCTTTCGAATGCAACTCTTACAGTACATGGGTACATTGTCACTGCGACAATACAGTACCTAAAGAGTACTACGGTTTCATGCTGAGTCACCCCTGCCCATGGTTCTGGTACATCTGCCCTCGGTGTAGAGTTTCTGAGGCACTGACAAAGCCACAGGTCCCACCTAAAATCAGCCCTAAAGTCCAAACGACCAAACCAAAATCGTCTGGCACTAAACCAGTAAAACGAGTGACAAAGGCTACCACAACCCTGCCTAACACACCGACAAAACTGCTGGTTGTTGTTAACCCCCCAGTATCTGCCAGCAACATGAAACAATAGGTGAACGTGAAGAAAAGAAAGAGCAACACCACAACTCACAAGCAGCCTCCACCCAAGACCAGGGACGACAGATCTAACTCACTTATTTTATTTTATGTCCCAGTGTCGGAAGAAAGCTTACTAGAAGGTACTGCTGCCTTCGACAAAGAGCAGTGGGATAAACACTGCACAACCCTCGGAATGTGCAACGTTCCATTCAAAATATGCCGCCTTTACAAAGGCCAAAATGCCTCCCTAGGAAAACCCCTCCAATGAGGTTAACTCTTGACTCAGCACGACTTGTTGAATACATCATCCTTTCATTCCAAAGACCATCGGTCTAATTGTCCTCGCCGATTCGCATCAGGCATGACAAGCCGTGGTCGGTACGTGCAGCAGCTAGAACTGCGCCAGGCACCCAAGAACAGACCACCATGGCAGTTCACGGTATACCCGAACTCACCAGCGGTAACCCGGACGAAGCTCACGAGCACGATGTGCGACAGCGGCGATGGCTATCACGTAGCCTATCCCTCCACACCACTATGGCAGTTTGCATTTCCAGGTTGCTCCGCCCGTCACGCCTTACGTCTATCAAGTCACTGAGCCTGATGGCTGTAACATTTTGGAACCGTGAAGACCTGACTGAAACACTGCAAGCTTGGTACAGTTCAAGGAACGATCTGTCTAGCCACATCAGATGTTGCGAAAGTCGACCTAGATCTGTGAGACAACAACAGGGAGGCCAAAATGAACGCACACAACTGATAGTTAACCTCGGTCAACTACCTCTGGCACAAGACATATTTGAACCAACCGTGCAGGCAAAATCCTGCAGAGGCCAGTTCCCACAGAACTGGCTGATTCGGTTTATATAACTTCTCTGAATATCCGACAAAGGCTGCTGCTGCAAATGTGCACCAGGTGCTGAGACAAACCACCAAGTGCCTCTATAGCAACGTAAGAGGACTAAGGGGTAAGCTGTTAGAAATCAGGAATATGTGCTCTCAGATAGATCTGCAGTTCATAATCCTAACTGAAACATGGCTATCCCCTGACATTGCAGACGCAGAAGTGAGCTTACCAGGCATGACACTCTTCCGAAGCGATAGGGAACACCGAACTGGAGGTGGAGTGGCCATATATATATATAGCAACTTAAAAGCAGAGCGACTACGCGACACCCAACTAAATGAGGTGGCAGAATCATGTTTTATGTTGTTTCCACTCGAATGGCACGAAATACTTGATTGGAGGGATCTACCGACCTCCTTCGGGTACTAGGGCCCAGAAAAGCAAACTGGTTGAGGTAATTCTGCAACTGCCACTCCTAGGGTTTGATCAAATACTGTTATCCGGAGACTTCATTACCCCATCTTTAAATCTTAGCAATCAGAGTATCAATCCCACTGGTTGGTTCCAAAGACAACTTGGTAAAGCCATTAGAAGCTCTGGGCTGACTGAGCACGTACGCAGCGCCACTAGGTGGACTAAGGAAGGGAAGTCCTCAAACCTAGATTATCTGTTAACGAACGACCAGCTCCTGGTTGAGGATGTTCACATCCGCGCTCCAATAGGTAGTAGTAACCATGGCACAGCCCTGTTTAACATGTTCACAAACGAAACGCTGACACCGGACGATTACGAGCCTTAAGTAACCGTTAGAACACCTTTGCTACAGTAGGGCAAACTACACACGCATGAGAGAGGTGCTCCTACATGCCCCATGGCCACGGGAGTGGTGGAGGCTTACAGTAGATGATCACTGGCAAGCAGTGAGATATATCATCCAAAACGCTGTAGTAGACAACGTACCTCAATCACACCCAGAACCTAGGTTAGGCGCGGCACGGAACGCTTGCTACAGACGATGAGGAAAGCCTGGCACAAGTGGAAGGTCTCCTTTAAGGATTCCGATCGCAGTTCTTACTTGGCATTGAGAAAGAGATGCAATACCGAAATTCGAAGCGACAGGAGACAATTCCAGACTAAGCTAGCCGCCAGAACAGAGGCAAACCCGAAATATCTGTTTAGGTTCATGTCCAAAAGAAAACCTACTAATCAAGGGTTGTGTCCCCTAAAAGGGCCTAACGGAGAAGACCTCACCAACCTAGAGATGGCCGAGATCTTCAACACCCATTTTTCTGATCAATTGGACCAGGCGCCCACATTTTCAGAGTATTACGTCAACCCAATGCCAGCTGACGGCTTAGGGAACATCCGTATCACTACTGACCCAGTATTAAGGAAACTAAAATCCTAACGCCCAGGCAAGTCACCAGGTTGTGACAACATCCGCCCTATAGTCTTGCAACAGTGCGCTGAAGCCCTCTGTTCACCTTTATGCAACCTGTTCAGGCATTCACTGGAGTCACACCGATTCCCAGCGGAATGGAAACAAGCTACTCTCTCTCCAATCTTCAAAGGAGGAGATAGAAACGACCCAGCCTGGACAGACCAGTCGCACTACTACCCATATTATCAAAGGTTATGGAAGGACTGGTGGATGAACAAATGAGGGAGTACATGGATAAGGATAATATACTCCATGAAGCTCAGAAACTACCTTGAGAATAGAAAGTTTCGCACCAAGGTAAACAGGGTTCACACGAGTTGGAGAGTATCCACTTCAGGACTATCCTAGGCCCACTCTTCTTCCTGATATTTATTAATGACCTGCTAGGCCACCGGCACTGATCTACGCAGACGATGCGAAGATCTGGAGGTCCATTATAAGCGAAGAGGATTCGACTGAGCTTCAAAAGGACCTTACATCCATTGAGAAATGGGCAGTGAAAAACGGTTTTAAACTCAACCAACCGAAGTGCCACATCATGCATTTCATGCCTCATATGACGCAAACCACCTACACTCTCAAAAATAAACCCTACGACGATAGACTCCAGCTCTTGGCATTATTCCCACTGAGCTACAGGAGAACCATATTACACACGCCAAACCATCACAATGTGAGCATCTTACCGATGCATCGCCACCACTCCCCTCGAGGCGATCCTCAAAAGATTGCAAATCAAAGAGCAAATACTCAGATTCGTGCACACTTTTTCTCATTGCGAGTCGTCACAACTTAGAATGCTCTCCCAGTCGAGGTAGTTACAGCCTCCTCAGTGGACTGCTTTAAGAAGGGACTTGATAATCACGTACTCACATACGGACTATCATTTCCCTCTTGGACAAGCTGTGCCTGATGTATATCTCGAGACCTGCTAGTTGTTACCATTGCCATCTCCTCAGATAACTCAATTAATCTATCTCGCCTATTCCTCCCCCTTGCTTACACTTCGGTCCTCTCTCACAATCTTCACTACCAATTAACAAACTAAATTCATCTATATATTACTCAGTTCTGAAATTTTATTCATATTATCATTAGAATTTTATCCTTATTACCCTTATTACTCTCCACATTGCAAATAACTGATCTCCGGTTCGGTAATGTGACGGCTGCTGGTATCCAGAAACCCTACTACCCTGAAACAAACGTTTCATTCAAATCCCGAGACATACAAACTCACAATCTACTGCCAACTGACTAGAATTAGACAGTCAAATGGCCAGACCTCCATCCATTGGACATTACCGAACACCTGGAACCGTACCGAAAGAACAAGAATCGAGCGCGAAGAAATCAAATTGGTTTACACTAGCTCGTGAAAAAGATATTGGATACTTAGTCATGACGACAGCTATACTGGTTTGTTCCTCTTTTGATTGGATTGCTTGATTTGACTGGAATTGTGCATTTCGATTGTGAATTGGAGTAATCTTCCAGAATTGGAAACACTATGTTATAAAGCAACCAGATATTATCTGTCGAACGAATCTGGTCTATCCAGGAGGGATTGAATATCATTTATTTGTGTTATTGATTTGGTTAATTGAACAATTGTTGGTGGAATGACTGAGTCGTAATGATATGTATTGATATTTATGATGAATATTAGCACGGTTATTTACCTAAATCACTTGTTTTGGATTTAAACTGGTCAAGACGCGTATCTGGACTACCTGGGAAGTTATTCCTCAATTCAAACCTGAGTTTGGATGCTTTTCTAAAATAAGGAATTTTTAGATTCCATTGCAGATTTTAAATAGTTTCAATTATTGTTTTTGTTTAATGTGCTATAAGAAAGTTTGTTTTCGACAAAATATGGTTGTTGAACTCATAAATGAACATATTATTTTATCAACGTTTAGGACGGGCTATAATCCTGGTAGGTCATTTAAAGCACATCCTGTAATTCCATCTTAATGGTAACAAACTACCAACGAAAACGATCAAAATGAGTTCCTGAATTACAAAACAATCTCATACAGAATTCCTTTCAAGAGAATTTATTAATTAAAAGATCGGTAAAAGAACTATTGTTAGAAAAATTCGCAAACAATCGGCGATTCCGAATAAGCAAATACACAGACACGGCAATTACAAATATAATGAGCAAAGTAACAGTGATTGCCACGATAACGATAGTTGTATTCGTTGAACGTTGAGGTTGATAAATACTCTGAAATATGAAATCATATACTCAGTGTTTAAGAGTGAAATACTTCATTCATTCTACATTGTTGTCAGCATTAGTAAACAAAGAGAATTCATGAAACACTAACACAATTTGCACATTCAAAACATCATCACCAAATAATCATTCTGTGCATTGGCTATAAGTTTGATTGTAATAAGACAAGAACACACATTAACCCGACTAGCTGACACGATCAAGATAAAACGAACAGCTGTTAAACTGTTGCTCAGTTTCTCAAAATTGTAAAAGGAGTCAGTAACTTAGAGACCAATTCACAGTGAATAAATGACTTCGCGGATTGAGTAATTCTAGTCGGCCTAATCAACAACCACAACCCATTACTTTTTACTTATCAAACGTCAAACAATCCACAGCATTGATACTTATCTCTTGATTTGTTTACCTAATCACTTTCGAATAATTCCCACAGATACACAAGTTTCACAAACATGATGTGTCCGTGTGTTAATGTGTGTGAGTGTGTGTAGGTGCATGACTGGAGTTTCATGTCGCATTTGAATGTCTGCACACTCAATGAAATGGAATTGTGAAATAGTTTTTATCATGCCAGTAGCCATTGATATCGATTCATTGTCTCATGTGTCCAGAGATAGAATGTTCCCGGCGGTAGATAACATAGTGTCAACTATTAGAACGCTTTCTCTAACAAATTTAAGAAATAAATGTCTTGCAACACTTGCGCGCAACAATTAAATCTCAAGTGTTCAATGGACATTTAAAATAATTGAAATCAGAATTTCGAAAACAACCTATAAAATATAATAAGTACTTACCGTTTTATAACAGTCGTTTTGTAACCACTTCACGGCGTGAATATCTTGACCATTGCTACATTCGCTGATAGCTGGACACCAATAACATTTAAATTTAGGTGTGGTTGCTTCAAAGCAACTTTCAGGTGATTGTTGTTTGGAACAAACGTCTGTGGAAACAATACGATAACAGTAGTTTAAGTTATAGAACAGACGTCAAACTAATTATCAATACTACTACTTATAATTAGCCATATTTACATCAGTACACCGGTTACAACGAGTAATTTTGATGCCATGAATATGTTCATGGAGTTTGATAGATGATATTTCGTTTCAAAGGGATCGACCTCTACCTGACACTTGTAGGGTACTGATATAACTGAATAGAGGGTTCAGAAATCCGGTCTTTGATGAACAGCAATACGAAGTACATTGAGTGTTTCTGTGATTTAGCACCTCATGGGAGTGTAATACAACAGTAAATCAGTGCAACTGGAATAGAATTGATCATCTTGATAATATTCTCGACTAACTGTTGTTTGAGTATCTCATTCATTGTAGTGATGTAGACTGGATGAAAGTGGAGTATTCAAAACTAATGCAGAACATAACCAAATGATTTTGAATAATCGATAATGAGAAGAAACGTAATCTAGCAGAATATAGAACATCTATATCTGTTGAGACAGGCGAGTGTTCGAGATTTGTGGTTAGCCTCTCTAAATACCACCAACTAGATGAGTCAAATGTTAATAGGGACAGTAAACTGTTAGGTTGACTAAAATAACTTATTTTTCAACATACTTGACATTGGTTGAAGATGCACTAATGTGCCAGGTTTGATTAGTGAATTCGGAACTTCGATTATATTTTCAATGCTTGATGTTGCACTGATCTTATCAGCTTGATAGACAAAAATACAGCTTTAAATGTTTTATCTTGGTTTGAAAGTGATTATGAAAAGTTGAACAGCAAATAATCCAAAATCTTTGTAAGTGATTTCACTTTTAAAACTATATATTGTCTCGATATAGATTCATAAATACATTTTATCCTTTCAATTTATATATATATATATATATATATAATGTGAGACTTTCGGATGGGAGAATGCAAACACTCTGACAATAATGTTTATCAATGGTCCTTAACATAAAATACCGAACCTAATCGAGATTAGACATAGTCGGGTATAATTGATCAACAATAAAGCTAACGATTGTGGGATCAGTCACATTCTGTCAAGTTAACTGGAATGTTGGCTCTTCAGTCTACATTGTTCATTATGGGTGATTATGTGGCACCTAATGTAAGTCAACGATGGTCTTCATGAAAAATATAAGCTGTGTCTTTAACAATCATAAATCCTTATCAATTAGTAATCTAAATCAATCTAAACATCTGATATTCGAACACAATAATGCTGTCCATTTCATATTATCTAAGGTTATTCTCTTAATTTCCAATGAATATGTGCCTTTTAATGTAACCTATCTCAATCCCTAATTTCAGTCAAACAATTCATAAAGAGTTGCTGTGAGCTTTCAAGTTAGGTGTAACATAGATTCGGTCATTCAAAGAAATGAATTCATTTGTTACTCCAATGAAAAATAATGAATTCTATTCAGCATGCTTTTCTACTTCAAGTTCTGATTGAGTGAATTTATATGTTGTATTAAAAATGATGTAGTTAGTTTATTTGATGTTGACCACAGAATAACTGAGTTCCATAATTTTGAAAACTTGTTTCAGCTAATTGTAAAGCTGTTTTACGCAGATATCTAATTGTTAGTTATCTGGAGATGAAGGTTGGACAATGCCAGTCAATGCCAATTAACACAAATTGAGATCTCCATCAGTAAACTAGTATTCCGATCGAGGTGATTTTGGCATTACCTATATTTTAAATTGTTGTGCATGATTCGAGGAGAGATGTGATTTCTCAAAGCTATGAGCATAGAGATCACAGGCAGGCAATTGATAATTATATGGATGAGATCAGCAAGGATTGGTTCAGTTTGCTGTTGGGGAAAAAAATGAAGTCAAGTGGCCTAATTAAAGTATCTTATTATTTTAGGCGATTGAAAACACAATTCTTATTACGCTAATCTACAAACGTTGATTGTTAGTAATCTTCACTAGTAATATTCACTGAGCAAAATTGTGTCTGCTGTCCAATTGGATTTTCAGTGTACAACGGATAACGATTGGTTGTTGAAGTTAAATTAACGAATGAATAATGAACAAGATCATTGTACATCGAAACAAAAACAAAGTTCTTTTAAATGTTTCTTACTCGCTTCACTTTCTTCACAGTGCAAAATCTTCAAAATCTCCGAAGTAATTTTATTGGGAACAACGTCATTAGGTATCTGAAAATAAGTGATGGAAATTCGAGTCAACATCTGTAAACAAACAATCTCTTCCATTCAAAGCATATATATGCACAGTGTTGGCATAACTTCACAATTTCACATGAAAACGTTAATGAAAGATTCATGATTGACATTTTCGTTGCTGAATTAAGCTTCGTCGTTTCATTGACGTGATTAGGCATCATTTATCTTCAACAGAATGAATGCACTTGAGATCTTCAATCTATACTTCGTTACAACATTCAAATAAACTATTTACATCCTCAACCGGTTACATAACATCACTAGTTCTATAGTAAACACAGTGCCTCAATTTCTCATGAATGATTATACCTCAGAATTCTTTCTATGTTGATTAGCAAATATCTCATTCTTAGTAGTCGACGAAAGTGTGTCACAATGAGAATAATATTTTGCTATTCAGATTGTTTAGTGGTATCTTTCAATTAAGTGAGGTGTATATTGTCATGCATATCAGTTTTGTAGCACAAGAGACAGTAAATTCAAATGAGACACTTTAATTCACTTTGTATATTATTCAAGTATTTGACTTGCCTTTTCGTAGTAAAAGGATATTTCCCCATCCGCATATAGATAAGTATAAACCTGAACTGGATTGTGTTTCAAAGAGATTATTAGGCATGTTTATTATATGAAAGAACATTGATTCGTACGTATTATTGTCGAATGCAACACTGTACAGATGTACGACCAGTAATAAACAAAATGTTTTGCTTCTATACGATCACAGTGAATACTTTTAGGTGGTTAACAGGTTAGTGAAACGTGCATCTGTTCTTTAACACGCTAATCGGTCAATTACATACGTTTATACAGTCATTTTGCAATTTAAACTAAAATTCATCACGATTCGTAGAAGATCTCTCCGAAATAGCAGACTTTTTATTCATATTTGTACATTCCCCTGAAATCATCAATCACAACTACACAACACTGAATTCCTATGTCTATTTAAGCTCTGAGATTGTACTTCATCTGATGAAAAAGTGAGAAAATTTTAAATTTTGCCAAAATGTTCGCTATTTTGAAGTGTTGCTTAGTTTGAGTAAAGGGTGTGTAATGAAGACAGATTAGTTTGTTGATTATGATGAATGTAAACCTCAAGATATATCATCGAAACGATGTTATCATTCAAAAGGTTTCTATTCTACAAATAACTTTGAGATGAGTGAATGTTCTGATAAGGCAATATGCGTCAATGTTGTATAGATATAAATGAGATTTCAAAGAATATCTAATGCAAAATCACCACTGAAATGACATCCAGTGTTTGCATCACGTTCCACCTGTCAATCAATTGTTACATTAACCCATCGATAAATGGCCAAAACACTTAGAATACAGATTATTTCCTTTTTTTATGACTAATTTAAAACTTGAAACTGATGGTTCAGTAGATGAAACGAAAGTGATTGCAATGATCAAATAGATAGATTGTTGTGAAAATTTTGCATCAAATGAACGATCATATTGCAAACACATAATTTACCTGCATTATCCTTAGATATCCATTTGATAGCCAATAATTTATCTGAAATAATAATGAAAATATATAGAATTCATCAAATCCATGTAAAAAGAATGAACTTTACAATGAGCTACTGTTTTCACTTCAACATTCATGCTGATTGACTGCAGTGAAATAAACAATCATCATCTACATGGAAATAGTAAACGACTGTAATCTTCACATCACCGAGTTAATCGAGAATTAATTATGTTCTGGTTTTTTATTAAGTCGATTCTAGAATATGCAACTCCACAAATGAAGATAGAATCCTCTCAACGCCTAATCTCTTGACTACTGAATCAGCATTCAATGGCGTTAACTTTTAATGTATTCTATTTGGTATACACAAAAAAGTAATTTTACTCTTAGTAGAATAACTCACCGTCACTTGCAATATGTATATTATATCTGCGTAGTTCGTCTCTATAGGTAACAATGCCTTGCATTCCCTCATTTGGATTGCTTATTAAAAATAAATTACCTGTTTACAATAAATAAAATTTAGAGAAGTCGATATAATTTTAAGTTATAAATGAACGAAAAACATTTCGAGAATATTTGGAAATTATTAGTATGTAAACATGGTACTAAACAATTTCATTCACTTGACATATAATTACTTACCCGAATCTTCCATACTGATCGAATTGTAGTATTCCCCATAGAACTCAAAAGTGAATGGTAAGTTGAAAATCTTGAATAAAAATAAAGTTCACAATTATTTTATTAGTTCTATTACATGAAATACATTACTTACCACAGATTTTTCCTTCCTTTCTTGAAAGTTTGTACTAACATTTGGAAGATTCTGATTGAAACGTACTATTTGGGTATAGTAGTAACGGTCGAGCTAATCATTTATTATTATTTTTCCAACTACACTCTTACTTGTATATGCCTTTCGTTCGCATAAACACTAGCGTTATATAAACTTAGGCCAATTTCATTCAGTTCTTTACAAGTTGTTTGGCATTCCAAGTAAGTTAGAAATGAAATTCCAATTAAATAAAATAATATCAACCGATTGGATAGCATGTTGTTATTCTTAATCTCAATTGAAATATCTGAAATGAAAATTACAATGTCAATCAGTAAAAATCAAGTGATAATATACTACTATATTTATTGATCAAAACATCTAAGTGAACACTCACCACAACTCCTGACTAAATGCATCATTAAGAAATGTGATTTATATATAAATATGCACTAATCAAATTTCAATAAATTTTATCACATAAAAAATATTTATTTCTGATTGGATAATCTAAAATTATTGATTAATGAAATTGATGAAATCGTTTGTTGATTGGTAATCTTATCATTCTACTGAATCAAAATCATTTCTATCTCATTAAACCAATGAATAGTTTGAAATCATAATAAAATGTATTTTACAACACTATGACTAAAATTAGAAATATTGAACAACAGAAACAGATAAATCAGATTAAAACATTAATAGTAACCGACGTGAAGAATGATGGACTTGAAGGTTAAGTGAACAAACAAACTAACAAACACAATTATTGAATTATAATCCACAGTTATCTGCTGATGCGACTCACTCAAGTGCATTGAAACAACTGACAGAGTTATCTATACAACAAGGACGGTTAATATGGAGTGGTGAATATTGTAGAGTTTAAAAAGAATCATGAACTCATCAATATCAAACCAATGGATGATCGTTACGTTCAAGTGTGGGACTCATTAGCAATGTGCATTCACAACTCCTAAAGTGAAATTCGGATGCAAAACGTTGATCTCGTGTGTGAAAAATGAGCTTCTTTGCCAGTGAGGCGTTATCCGGTAGTGTTGATATCGAACATCTAAACAGGAAGTCCTAGGTTCGATTCTTCCCTGAGATATCGTGGATGCTCATTATTAAGAAGTCCCATCTCCCAGCTCTGAAACTCATCTATTTATGATTTCAGTAAAAAAAACTAGACTACCCCATGTGCGACAGAAAATCGATGCAACGTTGGTGACCCGAAATTTGACACATTCAGAGAAAATCAACGTCACATGAAGTTTAGAAAGAAACATATAATTCACCAATATTCAGTACACCATATTCACAATGATTGTACACGTGGTGGATTACAATGAACAATGGTTGTCGCATCATTGATCAATTCATCAAGCATCTCATCTACTAATGAGAAGTTATTTTACATTGTAAATGGAATCAATGTTTAAGAGAACAATGAAAATGGTTGTCCAACCTGATAAAGTCACATCGTCAGAAGGAAGGTAGTCACATTCTTCTGAAGCATACAACTGCAAGTTTTGGTCGTTTTCCCATTGAATGCACTTGGATAATGTGACCTGTAGAATGTAGAGTTATCGCACAATTGTCTCAGTCAATACTACATAAAATGATCAAGTTCATTTAACTTCCGCTACGTATTATGTGTTATCGCATACCAAACATTATTTTGATGATGCTGATATCGATCGCATGCAAGTGGAACTAAAGTACATCAGTCTATTGATCTAAATTGTTTGCAGAACTGTTTACAATGATACGGCTCATTCATTCACATTCTGAAACATTCCATTTCATTTATACAAACGGCAAATCTTAATGACCAGTTTTCTTATGTACGTGTTTGCTTGAGCAAGATGAATTTTCTTCAAATATATATAAAGTGTGTATATTTTTATGATGTGATTTTTTTCTTTAGATTAGAAAAGATATGGTATTTTTTTCAAAAGTACTTATGATATTCTAACTGCGCTTGGAGACCCTCTGTGGGTACTTTCAGTCCATAGCCTGCATAAGCGAAGACGCTAACCGGAAAACATTATTCAAACCATTTTAACTGTGCACTGGTAAATAGAAGGTCTTCTTTCAGAAGAGTCATTACGTCTCATGATTAAAGCCTAGTTCCATCGGAAATCATGAGTCCAAAGCCCTTTCTAACAACCACAGAAACCATTCTTTTAGGTTAATGGAAGTTGTGACCATTTTAGGAGACCGGAAGACTATTTCAAGTTGCTACAGAAATGAAAAGATACACCTTGGAGGTGCTTGAAATCAGTGAAACGCACTGGACGCAAGTTGGACAACTGAAACTAGCTTCAGTAGAGCTACTTTTGAATTCTTGTCAATGAACCAGAAAATGTTTCACACACACACACAGGAAGTTGCACCGATGCTTTCCAAACAAGTACAAAAGCCACTAATACGATGGGAATTTCATTAACCCAGGACCATTAAAGCATCCTTCAAAAGAAAGAAAGAGGACATTACAATGAACGTCATCCAATGCTTTGCACCTACAAATGAAGACAATGATGACCTTAAAGATCAATTCTACGAAAGGCTGCAGTCTCCAATATTTTCAAAATCTTTTTCACATGCTAGCATAAACCAATCGATTTCTTTGCGCTCGATTCTTGTTCTTTCGGTACGATTCCGGGTGTTTGGAAGCCTAGCCACTCGACTGTTTAATTCTTGTCATTTGGTAGTTGGTTGTGAGTTTGTATGTCCCGTGGTTTGAATGGAATCGTTTGTTTCAGGGCAGTAGGGTTTCCGGATACAAGAAGCTATCACATTACCATAGTCAGTTAGGTCAGTTAGTTACTATGTGGAGAACAATAAGGAGAAAATTTTAATTCTAATAAGAAGAGGATTTCAGAACTAAGTAATATATAAGTGAATTTAGTTTATTAATTGGTAGTGAAGATTGTGAGAGAGGAGCGAAGTATAAGCAGTGCAGAGAAAACAGAGATAATAGGCGAGATAGATTAAACCAGCGATCTGAGGAGAAGACAATGATAACAACTAGCAGGTCTCAAGAGATGCATCAGGCACAGCCTTTTCAAGAGGGAGATGATAATCCGTGTGTGAGTATATGATTATCAAGTCTCTTCTTAGAGCTGTCCATTGAGGAGGCTATAGTCACCTCGGCTGGAGGAGCATTCCAAGTTGCAACGACTCTCATTAAGAAAAAGTGTGCACGAACCTGAGTATTCGCTGTTTGATGCACAATTTTTCGAGGATTGCGTTGAGGGGAGTAGTGGTGAGTGTGGATACTCGCCAGCTCGCGTGCACTCTATTTACCTTGGCACGAAACTTTCTATTCTCAAGGTAGTTTCGAAGCCAAGATACCAATGGGTGCGTGAGATACTGTGTCGAAGGCTTTTGTAAAGTCGAGAAATATTACGTGCACCGGTATTTTTTTGGTCCAAGCAGGATGTACAATTGTCCCATGCCATGAGAAGATTAGATGCTCACGACCTGCTTTTCCGAAAGTCGTGTTGAGCATCATGGAGTATATTTTCTTATTCATGTACTCCTTCATTTGTTAGTTTACCAGCCCTTCCATTACCTTTGATAGGATTGGTAGTAACGCGACTGGTCTGTAGCAGGCTGGGTCCTTTCTAGCTCCTACTTTGAAGATTGCAGAAAGAGTAGCTTGTTTCCATTCAGCTGGGAGTTGATATGACTCCAGTGAATGCCTGAACAGGCCACATATCGGTGAACTGAGGGCTTCCGCACACTGTTTCAAGACAACCTGATGACATACCTAGGCTTAAGTATTTAGTTTCCTTAGTAATAAGTAAGGAGTGATACGGATATTCCGTAAGCCGTCAGCTGGAACTAGGTTTGCGTAGTATTCTGAGCATGCGGTGCTTCGGGTTTGCCAGTATTTTGGCAGCTAGCTTCAACTGGAATCGTCTCCTGTCACTTCGAACTTTGCTATTGCATCTGTTTCTCAATGGAAAGAGAGAGAAAGAGACCTTCCACTTGTGCCAGGCTCTCATCACTGCATGTAGCAAGCTTTCAATGCCGCGCCTTACCCATGTTCTATTTCCGGGAGTGTGGTGTGACTGAGGTACCTTGGTAAGGACATCATCCTGTATGATGTCTCTCACTATTTGTCAGTGATCATCTACTGTCAGCCTTCACCACTCCAGTGGCCATGACGCACGTTGGAGGATCTCTCTCATTCGTGAATAATTTGCCCTAGTTTAGCAGAGATAGGGCTCGTGTTCGTCCTGTGTGAGTGTTTCGCTTATGACCATGTTAAACAGGACTGTGCCATGGTCACTATTTCCTATTGGTGTATGGACTTGAACTTCCTGGACCAGGAGCTGATCATTTGTTAACAAATAATCCACGTTTGAGGGCTTTCCTTTTTTAGTCAATCTTGAGGCACGCATACGTGTACAGTAAGCCCAAAGCTTCTAATGACTGCCCCAAGTCGTCTTGGGAACCATCTAGTGGGAGTTGACCCCGAAAAGCTGAGATTTAGAGATGGGGTATTAAAATCTCAAACAAAGAGTATTTGATAAAACTTCAGGAGTGGCAGCTGCAGTATGACCTCAGTCAGTTTGTCTTTCTGAGGGAGATCGGTAAATCCCTCCAATCTAGTATTTCATGCCATTTGTGTTGAAACAACACCAAAATGATTCTGTCACCTCAGTTTGTTGGGTGTCGTATAGCCGCTCAGCTTTTAAGTGTCTGTTTATGTATACAGCCACTCCGCCTCCTGTTTGGTGTACCCGATAGTTTCGCGAAAGTGTCATGCCATGAAAGCTCAATTCGTCGTCTGCAATGTCAGGGGATAGCGATGCTTCAGTTAGGATTAGGATATTCAGATCCATCTGAGAGCACATATTCCTGATTTCTAACATTCTCCTCCTTAGTCCGCCTACGTTGCTATAGAGGCAGTTGGTGGTGTGTTTCATCAACTGGTGTGACTTCTTCGCAACAGCCGTTGTCGTATTGTCAAACAGATTTGGGTAGTTCTGTGAGAACTGGCCTCTGTAGGTTTTATGCTTGTGAAGTGAGTTAACTCATTGAGGCAATTATCTTCGTCTTCCTTCCTGAGGGTTGTCGATCGAGGTCAACGGTCACTTTTGTGCATCTGTCACGGCCCCCTCTTCTGATGTCTCACAGATCTGGGCCGGGTTTCGCCACACCTAATGTGGCGAAACATGTCGTTTTTCGAACTGTACCAAGCTTTGAGTGCCTCAGTCAAATCCTCCTGATCCATGAATTTCACGGCCATCAGATGTGGTGACTTAACAGACATGTGATCCGATG